TTGATCAGCATTCTTGGTTTACATGATCACAACTACATAAAGATTACTTATAGCTCAACCATGTAATATACTCTACTTTGACTTTGCTGTGTAATATTTTGTTATATGTACTTGGAGTTATTGTCTTTATTTTTTGTACCATAGTTTTCTATGAACAAAACATGAATTTAACCCTAAAGTCTCCACCAACTGTCTTAATCTCTTTTGAGTATATTTTTTTTACTTTTGAGAAGTCTATTTAATCTAGAAGAAATCTGTCCTGACACTTCTGACCTATTCCAATTTTTATTCTCCTTTCATCATCATCCCGAGGAACCCCTTTGCCTCTATCTCTTTTTTCCTGTGTTCCATGTTTTTCTCTTCATCATGATTTACTCTCGTTTTGGTGGCACACAGTCTTCAGTAGCTGGCTCAGGTAGAATATAAGGAAATAATCTTTGAGACCTCCCATACCTTGGAATGAATTTGTCCTCATGTTTGATAGTTGTGCTGGATATATACTTCTATGTTGGAAATTATTTTCCATCAGGCACTGCTCCATTGCCTTCTAGCTCCTGGTGTTTCATCTACTTGGCAGGACTCTTACGTTTTCTCTGTGCCTGCTCACAAGAAGCTTAGCACTGGTGGAGAAAGTCAGGGCAAGAAGGCTGGTCCCATTACAAACTTATGGCTACCAACATCAACTGGACTCTCAATAGTAGCAATTCATTCTTTTACAGAAGCAAAGATGATTTAAAAATCTCTGTAAACAAATAAACAAACAAGTAAACAAAAATGAAAACTTTCTACTTTCCTCAAACCTCTGGCAGCTCTCCTTCCTCTACACTTTCAACAGATAGCTTTGTACTTTGACTCTTTTGGGAAAAATAAAAGCCATCAGATTAGATTCCCTTGTGTTCTAGGAATGAAACCTGCAAACTGACCTACATTTATACCAATCTGTTTATCTTCCGATGAGCTATATCTCGTCTACTTGTTCATGCTTTTAAAGCCTTGTGATATTGATTTCTTCTATATATGTATTAGATCAATCACCCAAGCTACCAGCCAACCAGCCCAATAAACAACAAAGAGCTCTTCCTCTACCCATATTATCCTTCAGCTATTGCTCTCTCTTCCCATTCTCAGGCAAACTTTTCCCAAATTGTTGTCTTTGTTCCTTATTTCGTTAGCTTTATTCAGTCTTTCACCACTCTATTCTGGCTTTCTTGCTAAGATCCCATTGACCTCCATCAAAGTGTTTTGACCTCCCTTATTGTTAAAATATGATCATACTTTCCTTTTTGAAATAGTCTTTGTTCCTGGGTATGCATGACAAAACTTTGTTTTGTTTTTCTTCTCTTACTAACTCCCTCTATCTCCTTTCCCATTATACTGCTATCTACTGTGAGAATTTGTGAAAGATTCTTTCCTTGATTCACTTTTCTTCTTGTTTATTTTCCTAGACAGTCCTACCCATGCATATGGTTAGAATGACCACCTACAAACAACACATTTGAATCTCTAGCCTAGATCTCTTTTTCTCAACTCCAGACTCATATATCCAATTGCTTACTTGACATACCTCCTTGAGGGTATGAATAGCACTTCAAACCCAGTATGTCCAATTCAAGTTCATCTTTCCTCCAATGTAGTAAGCCCTGTCCCAGTGATCCTATTGCACTCAATGGAACCCATCTCTCTACAATTATGTTAGCCAGGCACTTAGAGTTATTCTTGCATTTCCCTCTCTATCACCCCATTCTGAATCCATCACCAATCTAGTTGGTGATATTTACCATAAAAATTCTCTCAAATCCTTTCACGTCTCTCCCTTTTCACCACTCTAGGTAAGCTACTAGCAACATCTATTATTTAAACTACCTAAATAGTCTCTTAATTGGTTCAACTACTTCTGTCCTCGTCCTTCACCTGTTATCTATACTATAGCCACAGTCATTTAAAATAAACACTAACCTGAGTACATCATCTGCAGTGGTTCTCAACCTTCTGGCCCTTTAAATACAGTTCCTCATGTTGTGACCCAACCATAAAATTATTTTCGTTGCTACTTCATCACTGTAATGTTGCTACTGTTATGAATCATAATGTAAATATCTGATATGCAGGATGGTCTTAGGTGACCCCTGTGAAAGGGTCGTTTGACCGCCAAAGGCGTCGCGACCCACAGGTTGAGAACCTCTGACTTAGAGCCTCTACGTGGCTTCCTTCTAAGGGTAAAGATAAAAATTCCTTAACTTGGCTTATAGGGCTTACATGATCTACTCCTTACTTATTTTTCCTGCCGTAGTTAGCACCATCTAATGGTTTGTTTTCTTGTACCAGCTATGGTGCTCTTCTTTCAGTTTCTCCATAGAAAATGCATACTGCCTCCTTCAACCACAGGATCCTTGCTTATGCCGATCCTATTGCGAGCCAACGTAGATTAGTGGCTAAGTATAGAGCACCTGACGTCTAATTTTCAAGGAAGACTGCTTGGGTTCTAATCCAAATTTTACAACAGAGTTGGCTGTGCAACCTTGGGTCAGTTATTTTAGCTTCCATGCCTCAGTTCCTTCCACTGAAAAACAAGGATAATTGTAGGAATGTTATGACTGAATGATCATTTGCAGGGAAGGTTCTTCCCCTTTCTTGCCTAGTTAATTTCTTTTAAAAATACATTTTTATTGTTTTTAGAGAGGAAGGGAGAGATAGAAACATCAATGATGAGAGAGAATCATGGATTGGCTGCCTCCTGCACCCCCACTCCCCCACTGGGGATCCACTCTGAAACCCTGGCATGTGCCCTGACTAGGAATCAAATCATCTCTTGGTTCATAGGTCGACGCTCAACCACAGAGCCACGCCGGCCGGGCTCTTGCCTGGTTCATTTCTTTGCAAACTTCCATTTTCAGCTCGATTCACTGTCTTTGAGAAGCCTCCACTGACTTCTCCGAGGTCAATCCAATTAATCCATGATAAGATTTCTCATATCTGGAGTCTCTTATTTGTAATGCTTAATATAGGTGCAATTTCATATTTTCTGAGAGTTATTTATTTTTGCTCAAAATTCTATCTTTCTCACTAGAACGTCAGCTTCAGGAATGAAGTTTGCTTTTGGTCACCATTCTTTGGGCCTAATACAATGCTCGGCACGTAGTACATTCCCATAAAATCTTTATTGCCAGAAAAGACGGTGAATATCCCTGATGCTAGGCTCCTTGATAACTTCTTTTGGTGCTTGAATTCGTGCTTTGCACAGCAATTAGTGAGTTCAGAACATATGGTGGCGAATCAAGCAGTTAACTTGTACTTCCTGCACCTGGTCTTCAGCAGGTGAGCAAGCAGGAGGGTTCTCTGCTCAACAAGGCAGGTTTTTGTGAAGGTTAGGTGTTAAAACACACAGCTGGGTTTGATTCTTGTCTTTGTTATCTGTTGCTGTGTGACCTTAGTCATGTCTTTTGACTTCCCATAGCCTCAGTTTTCTCCTCTGTCAGTTACAGCATAGTACCCAGCCAGAGTCAATTGTTAACTAGGCAACTGAACCCGCAAGACTTCTGATTAACCTCAAGCATAGTACATGATTATCCACGAGCCCTCGCCAATGAGATGGCTTGCCTCTCATGTGTGCTAGTAAGCTTCCCGCTGTGGGACCAAACTACTATCCCATCCCTCCCTTCAAAAAAAGTAAAATCCTTGTGCTTTTGGTCACAAAACAAAAGAGGGTATGAATCAATATGAAGTGGGAAAATAGAGTTCCAAGGGCATTCCTAGTGCAAACAAGTTTCTTCTTTCCTGGTGCTTCAACTCCAAGTTTGAGGGTGGCAGTGGGTGGGCTGGCCAGGGCAGGTAGGATCAGAGGTTCATTTCTGGTAATCATCTGTGAGACACTGATCTCGAGAACAGAGAAGAGCCCCCAGCCCCTGACAGGAGAGTCCGGGATCAGAAAACCACTATTGCGATCTCAGAGCCTTTTTTTTTTCCTCCTGCCCTCTCCTTCCCCTCTGCTTTTCTATAATCAGCTGAATCCATTCCTTGGGAATCACATCGAAAATGACTCCGTCCTTATTCAAGAAAACATTCCCTTTCCTCGCCATAAAAAGAGTAAGCCTCGTGTCCACCTCGTGTGCAGCTGGCCACTTTGCTGCATGAGAGGAGCGATCTGATTTTGAGCCCTTAGTGGAGGAATGAACTGCATGGAGGCAATGACCACAGTGATGTCTATGAGAGGTGGGCATTGATTGCTTCTTCCGCAAGCCTTCTCTTTTCTCCCTCCTGTTCCCAACTTGTGGGATGGACTGGGGTTCTGGGTTTTAGGGTGTAGTAGCCTGTTGTGTGTAAGTAGAAGGGAAACTGCGCGTGCACATCGTGTGCGTTCAGGAGGGTGCTGTGCTTGAACCTGGAGAGTGTCTGTGTTTGAAGAACTAGGAAAGTACGTGTGTGGGACAAGATCTATACGTTTAAGTGCAGAAAAGCGGTCATTCGTACGTGGTGAGCGAGTGTGCGCGAATATGCACAAGCGCCAGG